GATTCTGACTATGCAGGAGATCTTGACAGAAGAAGGTCCACAACTGGATACATCTTTACCCTCGTTGGTAGTGCCGTTAGTTGGAAGTCGACTCTGCAGTCGATTGCCGCTTTGTCTGCGACAGAAGAAGAATACATGGCAGCAGCGGAGGCGGTGAAGGAAGCTATCTGGTTGAAAGGTTTAGTAGCGGAATTGAGTTTGGTTCAGCTGGAATCAACACTTAGATGTGATAGTCAGAGTGCTATTCATCTAATGAAAAATCAGAGGTTTCATGAGCGCACTAAACACATTGATGTCAGATTTCATTTTATTCGAGATGTTGTTGAAGAGGGAACTATCAAGGTCGTGATGGTTATCACAGACGATAATGCTGCAGATATGTTCACCAAGATAGTCCCACTCGCTAAGTTTGCACACTGCAAGGACTTGGCGGGGGTGTGCATCAACTGATGCAACTCCGAAGAGAACAGTTGTTAGGTGGAGGTGGTATGTTCAACAATGGTTTGATTCTTCTTGTTTCTTACAACGGGGTTGCCCAATAAGCTTAGAAGTTTTTGTCAGAGTTGTTCACACGCACGCTCGAAACGCAAACCAAGGTGGAGATTGAAGGTGTTGGTTTATGTTTAGTCAATAATGGCATGCCAATTGGAAGAGTTGGTGGAAAGAGTTGGTGTGGATGCTAGGAGGAAGCTTCCTCCTTTGATGTCACCCATACCCATGACATCAAGAGGAGGTAGTTTGATATCACCAATGACATCAAGAGGAGGTCTTTACCTCTATAAATAGATGCACTCCTTCATTTGTAGAAATCATCCCAAAAATAATATAACACATTGTAGTGAGTAGAGAGTTAAGAGAGAAATTCTCTCAAGTGTAATTGGGAACTCTCCCCTTCCTTTGTTAATATTAAAAAGACAACTGTTCTCTGGTGGATGTAGGATTATTTTGATCCGAACCACGTTAAATCTTGTGTTCTTTCTTTTACGTTTCCGCTAACATTACCTCTTTTTAGGTGGATAGAACTTCTCTAGCATATCTTTGTTTTTTTTATCACTTATCAATATATTTTTGCACTATCAAGGGATGGTGGAGTGGAGGATTCGGCTACGGAATGTGGATCGGGATCTTAGTTGCTTCGGGATTCTCCGTCATTCCAGTGCCATCAAGTGCATGGAAGAGTGAGTTTCAACTTACAAAAGAACGCTCAAATAAGGTTTGTTTATATTTCCTCCACTTAGTTGAACATAAAAACATGCTATCCTCTAGATTGGATTTACTTTATTATTCAAGCCTTTTGCTTTTGCGCTTTCATGAACTAAAAAGGCCATCTAGTTAGATATTTTGCTTTGCTCTTGCAAATTTGTACTACAACAACAAACACAGTTTAATCTCACAAGTGGAGTCTGGGGAGGATAGTGTATAGAGGCTCTTGCAAATTTGTACTAAAAAGATTATTTTTTTCTCCAAAAAAAAAAAAGGAATTTTTTGCAAAAATTGCAGCATCTCCAAAATTTCCTGGAGTCGTCATCTAATATCTGTCATCCAATTAAATGTCTTGGCAGGATTACAGCAGGGAAGTTGCATCTGAATTGTTTCCCTCTTTGAGTTCTCTATTGAAAAGGAAGAAAGATCATGGTTGGTATACTAGACCCAATCTCCTAATCATTTTATATTTCTGTAAAAAGACCTATGGATTCTTATTTTTTTACTGCTTTTTGCAACTCATCAATCAAAAGGGATCATTTAAGCAGACTATTCATCTATCAAGAAAGAGGGTATAACGGATTTGATAGCCCTTGTAACTTTTCTAAGATACCTTGCTCTAAGAAGTCCTTGCTCTTTTCTGGCTGTAAGATTAGTCAGGATTTCACATTTTAATATAATCTAGTAATAATGACTTTGTATTCCTTGGATATTATAAATGAGTTAACTTCATATTGATCCTAAACAATTATACAGTGCGATCTCCTGGTCTAGTGTGCATGGCGATGTGTTGGTTAGGTGCTCTACACAGGTTTAAACCTTGATGTAGACAAAAGATTGGTATTTAGAGGAGAAAAGTAGAGGAACGGGATCCATTATCCATCGAGTTTCGTACTGTGCGCCGTTGGTCCTCGAGGATTTCTTGGTTATTAAAAGAAATTTAAACAATGAGATATCATACGAAATGGAAATATGTCATTCTTGCTTTTTTTTGTTTATAAGTTTGTCTCCTCTTTTTTTTGCTTTCTGATAATTCAAAATTTGGCTTCTGGTACCCTCTTTACTTTTTCTTACAATTTGTAGTTTTGGCCTTAAACACTAAGGGGTCGTTTGGTTGGAATAGGGCTTATGCCGGTATAAGTTATGTCGGTATAAGTTATGTTTGGATAAGTTATGCTGGAATTAGTTATGTTGTGATTGTTGTTTATTCACTGTTTGGTATGTTGTATTAAGAATGACAATTGTATAATTTCTAAGAAAAAGGCATAAATTATACCGGTGCTAATTACCCCACCCTCTATAAGGTATAAGTTATCCCGGTGTTAAAATTAACACCGGGATAATTTATGCCTGATTTGCTAACCAAATAAAATATTAAGATGGTATTAATTTTTATACCACCCCTATACCTTCTTATACCTCATACCAAACGACCCCTAAGTTGGAAACTCATTTCCCAACACTCCAAGTTGGTGAAATTTCAGAATTTGCATCAAGTAAATACAGTCCTTGATCATGTTTTCGCCTCAAAATCAATATTCATACCCTTAACTTCCAGATGTTGCATCAAGATCTTATCTGCTAATATCCTAACAGCTTTTATATTTTTCCATGCACCATTTACATATTATTTCATGATTCTTTCTTAACCTTTCAGGTCGAGCTGAGGCTCTTCTCATTGCTGCTTATGGCAAAGGCATCAAGATAAATTCTGATTCTTTTCCCATGGGGGAAAATTAGCTGTCTTAGAAACTGGAGAAAGCTGGTTCATGACTTCATCTTTTATCAGCTCCGACGCTTAGTTGTTGCTGGACATCTGCCTTAGGTGTGCATATTTCCCTTGGAAGGTTTATCCATAAAAAGAGAAACAATTAATCGACGAGGCTTTTCAATCAACTCGGATTTTTCTGACTGACTCCATGAGATCTCAACGTTAGCATTGAATGAAGGAATATGGTCAGTAAAGATTTATATGGCCGACTCCAATTTATTTGGGATGGAGGCGTAGTTGTTGTTGTGAACACTCACGAAGTCGAACTCATCCTTTCTGTGTTAACTTAATTGTCAGTTCTGTTGTAATGTTGTATCTTAATTTAGATTTGCAGGATTAGTGTAGATTCCTCATTTTTCATGCACTGCTTGAGAATAGATAACATTTTGGGAGATCGTGCTTTTCCTTCTTAGTGAGTCTTCCGACATGAATCCAAATTAACAAGCTAGCTGCCCTCGATTACCGAATACTTAAAAGTAAAAAAGGAAGAGGACAAAAAACAAAGAAAAACAAAGATAGTTTCATATGTGCTCTCAAATTTCATGGTGTAACAATTCATGTATTGTCACAACTTAATTTTGAAGGTCGTGAGTGGCACTTAGCGAGTAACTACTCATGTCAAGTGAATTGGTATTCATCTTAGTCAATACCAAATATCAATAAAAATTTTGTATATTTTTCCCTATAACAGAAGCATCCCAATAGTACTTGTAGCCAACCAATCAATGTAAATTATCCATAATCGTTAAAAAAAAAAAAAAAAAAAAAAAAAAAAAAAAAAAAAAAAAAAGAAGAAGAAGAAGAAGAAGTTAATGACTCGAAGCCAAAAACCCCCAAATATCAAAATTCACCTCCAACAGACTAGTCAAGGAGGTCTAGGGACACAACTCGATATTACCAGGAAAAAAAAAAATAGATAAGAGTAACGGTGACACCATGATCTAAATGTGGTTGCCTCACCTCAATTGGAATCTCTAAACGGCTCAAATGAAATCAAGGATGCTCATCAACTATGTTAGAAGTAGAATATGGACGAGGCAGAAACAAGGGGTAAAAATAGCACGGTATAGCCAGTTTTCGGATTGGTCATTCAAAAATAGTCAGTGTTTACCAAGTCAATGAAAAATAGCCACTATTTTGCTGCAACAGAGACTGATCCAGCATAATATACTGGAGTTCGGTGCACCTGTGTATCAACTCCAGCATATTATGCTGGACCGGTATACTTTGTTGGCTCCAGTATAATATATTGGAGACTGGAGCACCGGTGCTCCAAACTTTAGTATATTATGCTGGACATTTTATACTTGCTGGAACTCCAATATATTACGTTGGAGTTCTAGTGTACTTATGCTGGAACTCCATCATATTATGCTAGAGTTCCAGCATACTTATCCTGGAACTCCAGTATAATATGCTGGAGTTCAAGTATACTTATGCTGGAACTCCAGCATAATATACTGGCGTATTTTTCGGATTTTGAACAGTGTTTTCGCTCAGATTTATCTTTACATGAAAAATGGCTAAATTTCAATTACTTTTGAAACTGGTCTATTTTTGAACGACCAGTTATAAATTTGACTATTTTTGAATTTCACCCAACAAGGGTGAGCCTAGGCCCAACCACTCTTTCATAACCCGTGGAGCAAGTCACTGAAAATACCGTGCACGCTATGAACAAGGTATAACATATATTTTTAAATGTGATACATATATAAATGGAAAGCAATAGATATACATGTAACCACTCATAAATATCATCTCATTGTATCACATATACATATCAACAAGCCGTTCATATGACACACTCTTACATGTGTTGAACTATGCGTATAGAGTATTTATCTGGCCAAAGGAGCCTTGGTGTACCTGTTAAAGTTGTTGCCATATGACCAAGAGGTCACGGGTTCGAGCGTGGAAACAGCCTCTTACAGAAATACTGAGTAAAGTTGCGTATAATAAGTCATTGTCGTCCAGCCCTTCTTCGGACCCCGCGCATAGCGGGAGGTTATGTTACTCTTTCCTTTACAATGTTCCAAAAAGAGTGCACCTTTCTATAATTGGAAACTCGTTAATATTAAAGTTCACATGCCATAGAGAGAGACAAAGAGAATACCTTTCCACAAACACTTTAATGTTCCAGAAACTAAAATACAAAAATGCTTTAAGCAGATGGTAGCTATAATTATCCTTGATTCGTTTCAGCCCCTGCTTAAGACACGATATAAGTAACATGCCTCTACTCTTCCGTTTTCATAATGCCGGACCTTACTTACAGGTCATTATTTCTGCCTTTCATCTATTTGTTGATTCTTGTATTGTTGTTACTATTTCCATGATGGTGCTGATTGATCGCATCGGACTCAACCTAAGGAAGAGTGGGCGCTAATACTTTTACCTAATAGTGGTATCAGAGTCAATTTTTCACAGGGAGCTTCAATTTGGAGTTGAGTGTTTGCNAGGAAAAACCGGACAAAAATACCCCTGAGGGTCTGGCGCGGACCGCGCACAAATGACGCGTGGCTACGTAGGGTTTTGGGTCTTCATATCTTGCTTCTGACACTGGGGACGCGGACCGCACAAATGTGACGTGCGGCCGCGTAGGGTGTTTTGGTCCAAATCCACCCTCTCTGAACTTTATCCACGCGGACCGCACTGATTAGGTGTGCGGCCGCGTGGGCTTTTACCTTGAATGACTGAGTCTCTGACATTCTTGGGTGCGGACCGCGTGGAAAGGAGTGCGGACCGCACATCTTGTNTACCCAACATCATTCATGCACTAAACAATCACACCCATTAATTACCCACACTAGGGTTGAGCCAGAACCCTAGCTAATGGGTTTAGCTAGCCATAACAGAAACAAAAATTGAAGAAATAGTAGATGAAATTGACATAATAATTAACTACAATGTTAATCTACTCAAATCCACGTTAATACTAGAAGAAATTGCCCAAAATAGGCTAAAACTATGAAGTCTCGAGTTCAGCTGCTATCT